AGATTTTTCATCTCCTTTTGTTCAGTCTTTTCTCCTGGATTTCTAGCCTTCTTATATTTAAAAGTATACTGCTGACTACTAAAACTAGACTCTGCTAAGAGGACTCTGACAGTTATTGCACATCTCAAGATTAGAGCCAGGTTGATGTATATTCTTTTACATATAATATGATATGTTCTTTGGTCCTTTTGCAATACTTTCTGTGTTTGTGGAAAGAAGTAGACTTTAGAAACCAGAGAGAGACTTGAGTTTAAACCCTAGTTTCATCATTTAATAGCTCGAGTTATTTAACCTTTCTGTTTCTTCATCTATCAGATGATGAGTTTATCTAGAAATGATGATTTGTATAGTGAGGTGGTGAAAAAATTGACTTGTTAAGGTGACTGGTACAATACCTGGTAAATAACACACTAATGGGAGTTTTCCTGTAATTTAATGACATAGGCGATAAAATGCTGGACTAGATAGACAGTGGGTCTGGACAAGTGAGTGGCTTTTATGTTCTTCCTAAACATGCCCGCTTTTTCAGTGTTTGAATAGCATAATGCAAAACAGAAGTTCCTGAGTCAGCTGGTTTCATTTAATAAATTTTGAGCTATTTAACTGAACATCTGCTATGTGCCCAAAATGATGAGAGATACAGGATTAAGTAACAAAGTTCTTTCCCTACCTCTCCAATTCCCCCTCCAGGGAGCTCATAGTCTAAGGGAGAAGACAGATGACTGATCCTCTTTTGTTTTACAGGAATAGAAAAGGAATGATAGCTAAACATACTCTAGCTGTCGGGGGAAACGTTGACACTTGCCCTGAGTATGGACTCCTGTTGACAGTATTTACAGAGGCAACAGAAAGCACATTATGTTTCAGAGAGAAAGATGAGTGTAGTGGTAAGGCCCATGAAGCTGGAGAAAAGAAGTTCTACCTTCAGTAGAAAGGATCTGGTCCTTCCTAGGATCTGATCTTTAACCCAAAGAACCACTAGAGGGTTTTAAACTGGAAAATTGAGTTTTCAGTGTTTCATTTTAGAAAGAAACACTTTCACAGCACAATAAAGGCTGCATTCAAAGGAGGTTTGAGATGAGAAGGAAGAAAGAGAAGAAAAACTGTGTAGGGCATTATTAGAAAGTTGAGAAGGTAGAAAGTGAAGAAAAATTGCTTAGGACTTGACTAGTAAGGGTGAGGCATGAGGAGAGCCCAAAAAACAATAGTAAATGTGAAGCTAGAAGCAAGCAGATATTAACATGGAATAAACAAAGGAGATGGGTGGATAAATAAACAAGGGGCTTCGTGGATAAGTGAGATGAGGGTATTAACAATGAGTTCAGCTTCTAGCATGAAGACGGGATGGGTGATTGATGGAAGGAAGTTGGGGTGGCAGGATCAGGCAGCAGCAGAGATGAATTTAGTTTGGGGCATATTACATTCCATATGCCAGGGGGGTGCCCGGTAAGCTGTTGACTGTGTTGTTCAAGGGATCTGGGCAACAGAGCCAGCTGGAGAGGCTGAGGTGACCATATGTGAGTGTTATGAGTGGCAGTCCACCCAGATGTTAGCAGTTTTCCTTTTATTTCCAACAGCTAATACTTATTAGATGATCAGTAAATATTTGCTGAATTGATAACACTCTGGCTATAGTTTTTACTCTTGGTCTCCTCTGTATGTGCTAGGACAGAAAATGATTGACCATCTACTTTCATACAGCAATAAGCAACTTTGGTCCAGGTGGTGCTGTCCTAAGTGATGTTTAACTCACAAATGGCTTCCTGATCACAGACAACCACTCAGCATCTGAGCAGACGGGTACAAAATAGGCTTTTACTAATTACCTTAGATTTTTCTGGTTATTAATCAGCTTTCTCAGTTGTGACAAAATTTTTTGGAGAAGTCATGAATTCTTCTCCATGTGAATGGATTTGGATATGGTATCCAGTGTGAGAGCTAGCATAGAGCAATTTGAAAACGCCTGCTTTGTTTATTACCAACTGATCCATTTTTGGACAGTTCCATAACAGTTTGTCTGATTCAAAAAAAAATGGTGTTATAAGTGCTCTAGAATGCAGTATAGTGTGTCAATAAGGTGACACCTTAACTCTAGCGCTCCCTGGGCCCTAGCATCTAGTAGCACATTGTCTGTCAGCTGAGTTACTTTAGCACCCACAGGTTTACATACATAGGTTGTTGTGTTTGGTCCTTGGAGCCATAAAAGTCAAGCCATCTCTCATTTCCACTTTTCAGGCCCTAAGTAATATTCATGATCAGGCAGTGAGAGACCTGCCTGCCCGACTTCAGCTTGAGAACTGTGAAACTCCTTCAATGTTTGTGATGCTCTTGAAAGTTTGCCCTGGCTGAGAAGTGCCATCAGCCTGAAGTTCTTGAGAGTGTCGCGTCTTGTCTTGCCTTACTCGCACAGTGTAAAACGGGTTTGCAAGTTAAAGAGCAGCAGCAGTTTTTTAAAATAGAATACACACAGCGTGATTTCAGTGCTGCAGTGGAAGACCCCCTCATGAAGTGCCTCTGTGTATGTACTGGCAAAGGGTGATTTCAGGCCTGAGTGGCTTATTTACAACTTCCTGGTGATCACAGAGGTCACTTGGTATGGCATTCGGCTTCTGTTAGATTGTTCATTTTTCAAACAGCCTATAATCGTTTCCTTCTCATCCACCTTTGCTGCCTTTCTTTAAACATGAGGAGTAGATCCTTCTTCTGGGTATCATCTTCTCTCCCACATTCTCTTGGAAATTCTTATTTTAGAACTGTTTTCCTGTGGTGTAAGGCAGTCAGCCCAGGAGGGAACACTTTTTTTTGTTTCCAGGAGTTCTGCCTCACAGGACTCAAAGATGTTGTCATCTGTCCGTGAAGAGATGCAGCTCAGCTGCTAGGTCACTTTTACCCTGTTTACAAATACATGTTTCTCTATTTTTTGATATTCTATTTAGTCCCATGGAAATTACAGGAATGAGTCTGGTGGTGCATGTGCTCAAATCTAAATCCTTGCCAACCAAATGCTAGATCTTAGCTTTTTTTAGGGCTAAATGGGATGGCATGGAGATCTGAACCATTTTCCAGTAACAAGTTAGGTATTTAGGAGGACAGGGAAGTCCATAGTAATGTGAAGGACTTGGTACTGTGTGAGGTGCATTGAAATTATTCCTCAGGTTAGCAATGTCACAGAGATACAGCCCAAGTAAGCTTGGAACAACTTAAGCTGCTGACATCTTAGGTGAACAATTCTTCCTTTTGATCAGCTGAGAGTCTTGGTTTATATTAATATTTGTGAGCCCTCTTAACAATCATTGTGAATTCTCAGAGTTCATTATATTCCCTGTTTATTCCTAACCATCTTGCTTTTGTATGTGTTCATTCATTTGTAGAATATAAATGGCATTCGCACAGAGGAGGTGGCTGCCGTGGCCAAGGAGCCATCGCCCAACCTCATCTCTGAACAGCAGGGCCCCAAGCCCCAAGTAATTCCTGTTAAGATCCAAATGGCCACCCCGTCAGAGTCTCCACAAAGCTTCGACTTTGGTTCCCTCTCCATGAACAGCAAGGAGACTGATGAGAAGGAGCAGGGGGCAGCTGGCTCTCTTGACATTAAGGAAATGCCGAGAGGCCCAAGTGGGGAATGTAGAGGAGTGGAGGGACAGGCCAGTGCCTTAAAGTTCTCAGTAGCACCAGCTTCTTCTCAGCTGCAACTTGATGGAAAAAAGGCAGAGAGTAGTGAAGAACATGTTACACCAGGAGAGCCTCTTGGAAAGCAAAATGGATTTCTTGACTCTCGTGTGGGTAACCAGTTCCCTGCCCTCATTCGAAGCTTCCAGGTAGTAACTGCCGCAGTGATACAGGTCTAATGACTCACTTTGGGAGAGGGCCAGAATCTGTTCTCTGTAGGAGGTGGTGGTGGTGATGGTGGTGATGGTGGTGAGGGTAGTAGCCTCTCTGCTTTTTTTCAAAATCACAGAATAAAATTGGAACCCTTGAATTACTTCTGAGACATTTGTTCAGAGAAATTAACTCTGTGGCTACAAATGCTTTCTCCCCTTAACCAAACTAGTGGGAGTAAGTCTGTTTGTTTATCTTTATGAGGCCAGCGTAAGTTCCTCTTTCTCTTGCTTTTCTTTGTAAAGAAGTGAATTTCTGAGGCATTTGTGATGAGGAGCTTCAGTGTTCTGAGACCATGCTCAAGCTTTCAAATGCCCTTAAAGGGGCAACTGAAACTCTTAATGAGTTTTCAGGCCCCAAATAATTATTTACGCATTGCAGCCACACAGTACAGCCCACCACGCCCACTGTCCCCACTCACCCGGACTTCCATGATCACAGTTGCTAATCTCCAGTGCTAAGGTGGGTGACACTTAACCTACCACAATCAAATAGTTGTTTTAGGGTGATTTATTGTCTTGGGAAAGGTGAGCTGTTAGACAAGCCTGGGATATTTCACTGCTGTTCACTCTTCTGAAATTCTGAGATTAATCACCAGGTGGTGGTTGAACTGATTATTTTCTTTCCAGTTTTGCAATTGCTGTTTCTTCTCAATAATCCAAAGAGAATGTCTGACATTGATTTGAAAGAAGTTAATGAATTCCAGAGCATTCCAGTGCCACTGCTGTTTCTTATACCACTTGGAGGAAATGTGACTGAGTTTCTTAATGGTGATGGTACAGTCACAAGGACAAACAAACGGCCCGCTGTTTGGCAGATAGCTTGATATTCAAATTCTGAAGGTCAGTCTGAGGTGGTTTAGTTCACCAATCATAACTGTCTGATCTTCTGCCTTTCCATTATGCTTATGAAAGTGATTGCAGAGATGTGTTCTCTAATATCCCTCATGCTTTCATGGCACACTGTCAGGGCCGCTGTCGAGTGGTGTCCAAGTCTAGGGCAGAGACTGAGCTAGCCCTTGGCTTGCTTAGATCTATCACTTTGCTCAAATCAATGTCAGATGATTAGCTCTTCACAGCTTTAGTAGAGGCTTCAATAACTGTTTGTTTACTGCTTCACAGCCTCCCCTGGTGAAGACTCAGACGGTCACCATCTCAGATACTGCCAATGCTGTGAAAAGTGAAATCCCCACCAAAGATGTCCCCATTGTTCACACTGAGACAAAGACCATCACTTATGAGGCTGCCCAGGTAGGACTTGACTTGATGCTTCAGGTTTCAGAACCAAAGGCTGGCGTGAGCGTAACTGTCACCTCCTGTCCTAACAGGTTTCTAATCGGGTGCTGAGAATAATGCTTAGTTCTTCTGAGACTGTTCATTTTAGAAGAGATGAGATTACAGGCCCTACCCTTTGGAATTACCTTCTAGTAGGGAAAGACATGCGTGCAGCAAAAGACTTAAATGCACAAATTTCAAGCATTGTTAAGTGCTATAACGAAACTAAAACAGGATATAGAGCAGTCTGTATGGGGTCATGAGAGGTTTCTACTTTGGGGCTAGAATCGTCGGGAGAATTGAGGTACCGTTTGGCCAAAGCCCCCGCGATGGGAGGCAGCGTGTAGCTCTGGTGGCTCATTTCAGATCCTGTCTTTCCGCTCACCTTCACATCACTGTCAACTGGATGATGATACCCTCCTGCAGGAAACAGTGTAACCTGTCAATTAAAAGCATATACTTTGCAGTTAGACAAACAGGTGTGTATCCTATCTCGTGAACCAAGTGGATAACTTTAAATAAATTGCCAATGTCCCTAAGTCTCTGTTTCCTTGGCTGTAAAACTGGCACTACTACCTACCATTAGAGGGAGAGAGAAGGAAAAAACACTACAGGCCATGCAAAATTTGGTGTATTCATATACTTTCAGTTGACACTAGTCTGCTTCCCCCTTCTTTCTTGTGGTCTGGAGTGTGAAATTTGAGTTTGGTAAATAATGTAAAATTGCCTAAAGATTTTTAGTACTGGTAATAAAGAGGCATAATTAAAGCACTGATGATTCATAAAGCTGTGTGCCGAACACAATAAGGTGGGAGCTGCCTGGAGATAAGAATAGGACTTTGGCAGAGCCAAGGAGAAGCTTGTAGAGAACTGAAGTGTAGCCTGAGGAATGAGGAGAAAGCTTTGCCAAAAGCAACAGAATTGAATGGATGAGACTTGACAGCCAAAGCTTTGAAAAAGGAAGAAACCAGAAATTACTTTTAGATCCTGCATACTCTTAGCCAGAGGGCACAGGGAAAGAATTACCTGCCTCAGAGAAGGGGCCCTTTAGGTGTCACAGTCATGGAAATAACTGAAATGTCCCCTCAATAGGGAACAGGTTAAATAGGTGGTGGTACCTTTTTTTTTATTATTATTCTGATGGGGATAATATGCACCATAAATTAGTAACTGAGAAAGCACAGGGCAGTGGAGTTTAAATGACATGTCACTGCTCAGAGCAGGAAAACACTATACAGGAAATGCTGTCTCTGCTGAATCCTCTCACCCTCCTGCACTTCTCACCTACACCCCAGAGCATCTATGCAAAAATAAATAAAAAATCTTTAAAAAAAAAAGTTAGAATGGCTTGCCTACTAATCACCATCTGAGCTGAGAACTAAACCCCTGTCTTCAGACAAGTTTCTTGCCTGAAGTCCTAGTTTAAACTCTTACTACTTTAGAACCTTTTTGAAGATTTTTATTTTTATTTATTTATGCATATAAGAACTGGGGTGTCCGCCAGTGGTGCGGGGGTGGTGGTGGCAAGTGGATTTGCCAGAGACAGAGTGGGGAGCAGAACAGGCCGATTGACTGAAACACACTGCTGAGGGGAGCAGCGGGCAGGTCAGGAGAGGTCTGCCGCACCGAGTGGCTCAGCTCCCTGGCTGGGACTGTAGCTATGTTGCTAGAAGCCCATTTCACTAATAGTTCTGTTGTCACCGTATCATTAACACATGTGTGTCTCCTCCCACTTTGCCTGAAGGGACAATTCCTATTTTATTGCCTCCAGCCTCCCATCTCAGTCCCTTCCGGAAAGTTCTGCCCTGTGCTAACAGGGCAGTTTTCCTGCCTTGGGCAATGTGGCAAGACCACATCTGTAGCGAGGACAGGTGTCACTTACTGCTTGAATTCTTGGAAAAGTCATTCATGCTTCCCGACTGATTTTTCTTACCTGGAAGTGCTAATAAGTCTCTGCGCTATTTATTTTGTAGTGTCTGTGTGAGCATCAGGAAAAACAATGTTTTAGAAGGTATCTGTGAAACATTAAGTCTGTACACATGTGGGTAATTAATGTCCTGTCTCCACTGCAGCCTCCCCTTTCTGATCCACTCTCATTGACCAAATGCTAGGGAAGTTGGGCCCATCCCACTTTTTCAAAGGGGTCTTATTTCCAGGAAATTTGTTTTATTAATTCAAGATCAGCATAAGGGAATGGAGCTTTTGCTGTAGGATGGACAGCTGAAGAGCAGAGCTGGATTAGCCCCAGAGCTTCGTGCGAGGCCTGGTGACAAGCTGTGTTTCCTCTGCAGGCCGAGGATAGCAACGGGGACTTGGACCCAGGGGTCTTGCTGACTGCTCAGACCATCACCTCCGAGACCACAAGCAGCACCACCACGACGCAGATTACCAAGGTAACAGCAGCTTGTCCCTCCTCAGGCTCCCTTGGCGAGCCAAGCTCGCTGTCTCCCCAAGGACCCCAGCCTCACAGCGGGGATGTTCGTCTCTCTTGAGCCAAATTATTCCAAGCGTCCCGGGTGGCAGTTCCCTGTTGCTCCCTCCAGCAGTGAAGCCCGTGTAGTCTGGCCTGCGTGTAGTCTCAAAGCCGCATGTGTTTGTCCCCTTGATGTCCTGGCTGTCTCTGGTCAGTGAATCCCATATCTGACTGTGAAGGTAGATTTAAAAATGCAGTTTAAGGGCAGGTATGATTTTTTTTTTAAGGTTTATATATTTATGCATACAGAACAGGGGTACAGGCCAAAGGTTTGGGGAGTGAGGATTCACCAGAGACAGAGCAGGGAGCAGAACAGGCAGATGGACAAAGTACACTGCTGAGGGGAGCAGCGGGCGAAATAAGAGAGGTCTGCTGTGCCATGTGGGTCACCTCCCTGGCCAGGGGTCGATCTCACGCTGAAGTGGCTGCAGCTGGCTTCCTAGTGCCGCACTTTGACCTGTTGCACCACTAGGGAGGGCCCATGATTGGTATTATTATTCAAATATTTTTTCCAAGCCAGAATTCAGGACTCAGGGGCCAACAAAGAATTTTTATATTTGTCAAGACCATAGCAATATATAGTTTGGGTTCTGAAATATTGGAATTACTAGAATATTATTTGTGGAACAAAAAGGAGAAAGTATCTAAAATTAGAACTGCTCCCCAAAAGTCAGAGACAATCCATGTTTGTTAAACACGAGAGTTAAGTGCCTTTTCTTGTGAGCAACCTTACTTCTGCTCTGCGGGGAACATTATTTGAAGGATTTTGACATAAAAAATATGAAAATGGGGCCCTGCCCGGTGGTACAGTGGGTTAAAGCACAGCACTGTGAAACAGCGGCTACAGCCGCTTCAGCACAAGTTCAATCCCCGGCTAGGGAAGTGACCCACATGGCGTGGCAGACCTCTCCTGTGTTGCTGCTGCTCCCCTCAGCAGTGTGCCTCATTGTCTGCCTGTTCTGCTCCCCACTCTGTCGCTGGTGAATCCTTTTACCACAGCTTTACCCCAAGCTCTGAATGCATAAATAAATAAATCTTTAAAAGATATATATGAAAATGCTGGCCCTCCCTGGTGGCGCAGCGGGTTAAAGCACAGCACTGAGAATCTAAAACCGCTTCCGCATGAGTTAGATTCCCGCCTGCCCTGGAGGTGACCACATGGCGTGGCAGACCTCTCCTGACCCGCCCGCTGCTCCCCTCAGCAGTGTACTTCATCGATCTCCCTGTTCTGTTCCCCACTCTGTCTCTGGTGAAGCCTCTCGCCGCCCCTGAGCTTCTGGCCTGTACCCCAGTTCTGTATGTACAAATAAATAAATCTTTAAAAAAAAAAAAAAAAAAAAGATATATATGAAAATGCTTTAAAACAGCCCAGTTTCAAGCTGTGTGATATTTTTGCTTATACTCTTCTGATTTCTTCCTCTTAAAAATAAGATGTACAGGAAAAGAGCCAAAAGAAACACCTATTTGGTTTACTTGCTGAATTTCTGTGGTGTCTGGGAGAAAAAAAAGGGAAAAGAAAATAAACAGAGAATTGTAACTTTCTGTTTAGCTTATTAGAAATATCAGCAATGCCAAGAAAGAGCAGTGTGCTCATTTCAGTTGGCCCAGCCCAGATTTCGGACAGCTAGCGAGAAAGCTGTGCCCCTGGGGGCCAGTTAAAATGTGGAGTGGGCTCCCAGAATAGTCTCTTGCTCTCTCTCCCTCTTTCCCTCCCCTCCTACCCCCTCTTCCTCTTTTCCTTTCTTCCTAACATAACCGTCTTTCTTTGCTTTCAGACTGTGAAAGGTGGGATTTCTGAGACCCGGATTGAAAAGAGAATTGTCATCACTGGAGATGCTGACATCGACCATGATCAGGTATGTGTGGGGTGCTGTGAGCGGGGTGGGGGTAGTGGGCACAGAGGGTCTGGGAGGACAGGGGGTGCTGGCCCCGGGGACCCGGGCAGCAAGTTGCTGGATGCAGGGGATGGCTGTTGAAAGACACCTCTGCCCTCTGCCTTCTTTCCTGACCCAGCCCCTACCCAAGGAGAACAACGGGAATCGGGCGATAGGGGCCTGTGGGATGGGGCCCACAGATTGGGAAAGCCAGTGCGTGTTTGAGGAAGCACAGGCTTGAGACTCACAGGCTCGGGCTTCAGACTCTTATTCTTAGCACAGTTAGCTCTTCGCGCTGGGCCTGTGTCCTCATCCAGAGGACGGGTGTGGCAGCATCTCCCTCGAGGAATCGTGAGAGCAGTGAGTCCCGGCTGCACAGCCTGTGTGCCTGTGTGGATGGAGCTGCTGCCGTTCCAGGCTGTGTGCACCCTCACCCACGCCGGGAGCCGGAAATGGTGTCAAAACCAAGCACAGTCTCAGCCCTCAGGGCTGTACAGCTGAGGAGACAGCTGGAGGGAGCACAGTCTGATGGACTAGAAATCAGGAGACTTGAAACCTGATTTCTGTCCTACATCTATCCCTGACTTGCTGTGTGACCTTGGGCAAATCACTTTGCCTCTGATTTTTTTTCTCTTAAAAGAGAGTAGGTTGATCTTGATAATTTATGGACTCTGCAGTGATAAAATTCTATGTTTTTATGTTAATTAGGCACTAATTGTGTGCTACAAGCAATTAGCAAATAATAAGGTCAGAATTAATGTTCCCAATTCTCTGCTGGGTGAGGTTAGAACAGTGAAGCTGCAGAGAAGAGGGGGTGGAAGAGACTATGCAGATGCCTCTGGAGTCACTGACAGGCGTGCTGGAGCAGTCACTCTGCAGCCTTCTGCTGGTACGCTGAGCGCCTTAAAAACTACTGAGCTGCATTGCTGGCAGCTCCCTTGGCAGCAGGGTGCCGGCCACCCAAGGCTGCAGAGCCCAGGTGGAGGCCTGGCAGCCTGTTCGCCCCGTGCAGTCGCCCCAGTGTTTGACCAGCCTGCACCCCGCTGCTCCGGCCATGGGATTGGGGCCCCTGCTCTATGCTCAGTCTGTGCTAGACAGCAAGAGCGGCGGGCAGAGGCTTCGGGGTCTGTGTGAGTAGAGCTAGACTGGATTCTGACCCTGCCCTCGAGCAAGTAATTCTGCTCCCCAAGCTGCAGTTTCGCTGTGTAAAATAAAGATAATCATAGCTTTCTATCGAGGTTTCTCATGGCAAAGGGACAGCACACTTGCTTGCTCTGATCGATGCTCCAGAGCCCTTCCATCGTCCTGGGAACAGAGGGCTAGTGGACAGGAGAAGACAGGTGCACTGTGGCGGGTGGAGGAATGTGAGAAGGGCTGTGGGGGCAGCCTCACAGGAAGTCGAAGCAGAGACCAAAACGAGGCCTTGACGTGTGAGCAAATGGGGCTGCCCACACAGTCAGAGAGGGGAGCACCGCCGGTGGGGGGCCAGTTCCTGGGTCAAGAGATGGAAAGAGTAAGGTCCCTTCTTCCCCTGCCCCTCTTAGAGTTTTAAAAGCCAGAGGCAACAGTCAGCTTTTAGATCGGGGGATGTGTCTCTGAGAACCCCCAAAAGGGGTGTTGGGGGTGCTCTGGGCTTCAGCCTCTAGGACAGTAATGATATCAATGTTCTTTCCCCCACTCCTTTAGCTTCTCTAAAGTGATCAAAGCAGCCTCCCCCCAAACTAAATAACAGCGCGGTAAAGAGGAAAACCTGACAGACTTTAGAGCCCTGTTGTATTACTTGCTGTGAAACAGGAGGCTTTTTAGTCACTGAACCTCGGTGTCCTTCCTTGTCCAATAAATAGTAGTAATGGGAACTAGGACAATCACTGTCCTGATCCACTGTGGTGAAGGTGAAGCCAGTTATAACAGGCTTAGGCCTGTGGCATGACACAGGCTTTCCCACTCCCTGTCCGCTCCTGTCGCCCGAGCTGCCTTTTCTCTTGTTGTTCTCTGCCCCGCCCCCCAGCCGATAGCCTGTATTCAGCACAGATTTTGCTTTATCTTTTCAATTCACTTCTTGAGTGACTCCTCACAGGCCCACCTAGGGAGGGGCAGCTGTCACCCCTGAAGTCCCCTCTGATTCCTTCAAGACAGCTCTGACCTCCCGGTGTCTTCCTGTTTTCAGTCCGGGAGCCTTTCTTTGCAGGGCGGGCAGGTACGCCTAAATGCTGCCCAAACACTGCCCTCGCCTGTGGATCGTGGATCGCAGGGACCACTGGCCCCTCACCAGCGGGCTGCTCTCTGCCGGATGGGCATTGTTTCTGTCTCCCTCAGGTCCTCGTCCAGGCCATCAAGGAAGCAAAGGAGCAGCACCCAGACATGTCGGTGACTAAGGTGGTCGTCCACCAGGAGACCGAGATCTCTGAGGAATGAGCTCAGGTGACTCTTCCTGCTGGGTGGAGGGTACTCACGGTGCCACCTCAGACAGTTGTGGACAGGAAAGCTGGGTGCTGCAGGGGCTGGCTCGCCAGGCCCTTAGGGAGCTCCCTCAGTATTCGGCTCCAACTTAAGTAGCTCCTGCCTCTGCCCTGAGCAGTGCCAGGGCAGTGTTCGGGGGGAGGGAGATACCGTCACTTGGGTAAGCGCCCCCCAGCTCCTGAGCCTTCATGCCTCCTCCTGCTTGTCCACTTGGCCCCCACTCTGCTGCTCTGCTCTCTGAGCCCCCTGGCTTCTCTCTCTGGGAGGCCCAGAGAGCACCCAACCTGTCTGGAAACTGGGGTCCTGAGCTTCAGCCCACAAGTTTTGGGGCTAGACAGGAAAGTTGGAAGCAAGCTGCTTTTGGGGGAGGGGGGTATCAGAGATCCAGATAAGTTCTTGCTGAAAGTGTTTGACAGGTGTCTTGAAGAAGCCACCAGTCACCCAGGCCCAGACTCGCGGGTCACTCAGACCTGTCAGTGCAGCCACAAGAACTTCTACCTAGTAGCTGTCTCTTGTGTAGATTTTAAGTTTGCGTCTCTCTTTCCTCTAGGAACTACCCTACCCCAACTCCCTGCCTGCCTCCCACCCAGGAGAAAACCAGCAAAATGACAAAGAAGCAAACCCGCTTCAGTAGGACTTCAGACTTTCAAGATTATTCATCAGAAAATTCCTTCATTTTCTATCTGGAGTTTATATACCAAGTGTCTTCTAGAAATCATTGATCCTTTCAAATACCTTTTCTACATTGTGATACCAGAAATTGTTCAACTTTTCACTCTTTGGACTGTTTTTAAGGTAGCTTTTTGGTTTTTTATAGGTGGTTTGTAACCCCTTCAACCTAGCCTCTCCCCATTTATTTCCAACCCAGATTCTGACAGAGTCCACCGGATTCTCCGGGCAGTCCTCCAGAGACTCTGTCGGCTGCGTTGGGGGCCAAAGCCAGCTTCATGGGGCTTCCCAGCTCCTTCCCTTATTTTAATCCTTTGAATGTCAGCAGAAACTTCATAAAGCAGCCCTGTCTCAGAGCCGGGTGATGTGATTTTACCAGAACATCCTGCGAGGCAACTGTCCTATCCACAAAGCCAGGAAATGCCCCAGGCCCCTGTTGATGGTGGTTTTGGTGCGAGAGACCTCTGCTAAGAATGTATTAGTTTTCCTCCTTCCCACCTGTTCTTTGTGGAGCTTCTTTAGAACAAAGACGTGAGAAGTTGCTTCGGATAGATCTGATACTGTGAATGTTTGAACATATCTGTGGCCTTCACCTTCCTGCCTCCCTCTTCAACTGCCCTCTTACCTCATGAGAAGCAGCACCCTGCCAAGCGCTCCCCTCACCTCCCGTCTCAGGAGACCAAAACTCGCGGAAAAATAGGCACTTTTGGCCAAAAGCTCTAATGGTATATTTTTCGTAGTGATTTGGGGAAGGAAAGTTAATGAGTTGTTTTTTTTTTTTTTAAACAGGTTTTCTGGTTTGGGAAATGTGCCCTTCACGCGGGGGATGAGTGGGTTTCTTTAGTCTCCTGCAAAGAAGTATTTCTAGGAGACTGACCCTGGCCTCTTGCTCTAATCCCGGCCCGGGCATGTGACTCACAGGGGACGGTGGGCCCCTTTCTTCACTCACCAGCACCTGCCTGCAGGCACCCTTCTGGTTTTAGGGCCACCCTCCCCACAAACCCCACGTGACAAGCGTGAACCCCAGGTCTCCTCCGTCCCTCTTGCCATCTGAAGTCTGTCAGGTTTTATAGGCTTGATTTTTGTGGTGGATTTTGGGTTAAGTTGTTTTGGTTTGGTTTTATAAATGAGGAGTGGTGCTCATAGCTCTAGTTCAGATTTGGGGGCGTTTGGTTCAATAGGGTTTCTTTAGTCTTACGGCCTCACGTAATCAGATCTGTCTGGAGGTCCTTAGAACTTGAATTCTAAGACAGAAGATAACTTCATGAGATAGATGGTGGGTCACAGCAAGCAATCTCTGGGGGCCCAGGGGGACTGAGCAAAAGAGAGAAGCCTAAAGCCTCTGCTCCCCACAGGGGGCCAGGGACCTGTCCAAAGCCTCTATTGGCGGAGTTTGTTTCCACAAACTCAGTTGGCTTGAGCTGATTTCAGGTATGTGCATTTCCTTAGGGTACTGATGTGAGACTGTTATCAGCCAGCAGCAGCTCCCCCCCCCCCCCCAGAGGCAGGAGTTGGGCGGCTGGGCAGTGTACAGGCCTGGGGAAAGGAGATGGCCCCTTCTCAGGAATAGATGTACAGCCTGTGGGCGTGGTCTGAAGCGATGGGCCACGATGGGTGCCGGGTGCCAGGAGCCAGGAGCGGTGGCTGAGTCGGAATCCCAGCTCACACCGGCAGCGGCCCGAGCCTGCCCCGGCGCCGGCAGCCCTGCTGAGTGCAGCCTGGCTCGCAGAGCTGACCCCTGTGGGACAGGAAGAGGACACAGCACGCCCCTTCCCTGTGTGTGGAGTGTTCTGCATGGCCCAGGTCAGCGTGGTCTCTCCCATCGCACAGGACTGGGGGTCAGCATCACCAGCTCTCTGCACTTGTTCCCTGCACCCCGTGTCTATAAGCCAGGTCAGGAGCTCTCTGAGTACCAGCACTGAGAAGCCGATGTTTGGACATGCCAGCAAGAGGGGTGTCCTTGCAAGCTTCCTCCCCTTTACTCTGTCTCTGGCAACAGATCTGGGGGGTTGGCAACTGTGTGGATTTTTTTCCTTCCTGCAATTATGTGTGTGTGTGTGAAGAAAAATAGACTCTGCCCAGGTGGGAATGGTGAGGAGGGGAGCAGAGTCTCAGTTCCAGGGTTAGAGACTTGGCAGTAATTTTCCAAGTGACTCAGACACACCACAGTAACAACTCTTGCTGCAATTTTATTTTTATTCCACTTGAGAAATAAAGATTTTCTCTAAGCCACACGAGGTCTCTGCCACCCACCCACCCACCCAGCAGGATTTATACGCTGAGGGCCCACAGAGCCCAGCTGCAGGAGCCTGTAAGGCCTGTGGGGCCCTCCCCGG